GAGTTTCTCTTTGGTTTGTACCGGGACAACAGCCGACTCCTCTCTTTCAACGTCTTCCTTTGTAGGTAAATTTGAGTCAACACGACGAGACACTACGATCAAGTCTATGAACCGTAGAGTAGAACCCACGTTCCAGTAGTTTCAAAACCCCAGTCCGAGACCTCGACTCCTCTGGGAGTCCTACCTCACTTCCACCGTTATATCGGCCTCCCGGTCTAGATTATCCTTAATCTTTAATAGGACCGCCCGGCTTTTAATTTAGGTGGTTCCCGGCCTAAACCGGGGGCCGGAGCTCAAAACTGTGGTACACTACATCTCCTTGGTAGGAATTTCATGATTTCAAAGACTTGATATCGGCTGTAGTTCTTCAAAAAACCTCATTTTCATCGTTATGACGACACATGTTTATGAGTCTATGTTCCGGACGTAAGTTTTAAGGTGAGTTCATTTCATGTTTGCAGGAACCGTCGATTTATATGAAAATGATGTCTTCATTTTCTGAAGAGTACGTCTTACCATGCAAAGTCTCCACGTAGACACACAAAATTACAACGTGAACCATTTTCCCCTCAAACAAATTTACTGAATGGAAAATAATTGATAACTATTATAAACCTAACCATATAGTTTAGACGTTTCCAATCGACCTTCATCATTTTCAGTGTGTTACACACCTCATCTTCATATTGCGGTGTGTGTGTGTGTGTGTGTGTGTGGTGTGTGTGTGGTTGTGTGTGTGGGTGTGTGTGTGTGTGTGTGTGTGTGTGTGTGTGTGTGTGGTGTGTGTTTGTGGTGTGTGTGTGTGTGTGTGGTGTGTGTGTGTGTGTGGTGTGTGTGGGTGTGTGTGTGTGTGTGTGTGTGTGTCAAGACCTCTTAATTTACACAAAAATTACAAAAACATAATTAATTAATTAAAAGATTGTATATATTCCGCTCGCTATATTAAGGTTTATTGTATTGTGATTTAATATAATTATATATAATACTGATTTATGGATTTATCAGTTACAAATCGAAATGTGAAGGAAGACTTAATTTCATTAAAATAAGAAACCTTACAGGAAGTAAAAAATGGGGGATGGGATTTTATTAGACCACACCGAAGACTTATTTTTCAGATACCCCAAGTTAACAAGACAAAAGGTAGTAAAACTCTACGTTTGTTAATTTTTATCTTTATTATGACATTGATTTTTAGTATTTTGTATTAGTACAACAGTGTCCAACAGGTACGTTCAGGACGGTTAGGGGTTAATATGTGCACAAGACTCGAATCACGAGCCCGAGGGTGACGTTGCGGTAATTTGGTGTACGTACTTTATACTGAGTACAGTTATGGATGTTATAGTATTTAGTCAGTTTTTCCCTTAGGGACGTACGTACCGTCTTTGCACACCGTACAGGTACGCTTCCCCCCATGACGTCTACCCAGACTGGGAGGAGATAAGATGTCTGTGTAACGTGTGGAGAGGTTACAAGTGTCATAAATAAACACACAACGTCGGGTGCGAGTCGTGAATGAGTCATTGAGCCCCCTTCAACGAACCTCGCTATCTTTAATGATTCCTCGGTCATTTCGTGACCGACAAATACTGTCCCCCCCCCCCCCCCCCCTGTGCCTACCGCCCGCGACGTCGGATATTCCCTTCGTCCTGACCACAGGTAAATGTGGCCACCGTCACCCAAAAAAAACCAAAAAAAAAAATTTCTATTGTACACCTTTTTGTCTCTGTCGTCTCAGAGAAAGAAAGTAGACACCTGGTACATTATGGAGATACACACTTAAACTCTAAACTCTAAGACTCTTGGTGTTCGTCACTCCGGCAGAGGTCAACTCAAATTTAACGTCCTACTACTTTACTACGCAAACAGTTAAATTTCACGTAAGGTGTATATGTGTGACTGTGAATCGCCATAACATGACAAGGGTTATACTATCTATAGGAGAATTGGTGTACTTGTTTACCACGAAAATATCCGGTGGTATGCCAATCATTCACATCAAAATTAATAAAAACTTTAGCACCTGAATTCATCCGTCTGTACCCAAACAAAACGGTGTAGGCTCTCGAGAAATTTTCCTACTAATCCTTATATTACCAGTGTTTATGTACTATATATGTCTCCGAACCGTCTATTGTCACAATCAATTTAAATATAGAACAATCAACATTTCCTAGTCTACAATAGAGAAGAGACACTCGACATGACAGACATCCTATTATGAAATTCAGACTTAGATAGCGATGACGAAGACTTAGAACAAAAAAAAGTGAACAGACAGAATAAATACGTAAAGACAAAAACACATAGGCAAGATAACATATATATAACAAACAACACATATAACACACAACAAACATTTGATTATATACCTCGTAAAGACAGCCATACAATAAATCACAGTAACAACAAGTCACAACCAAACATATATACAACTATACTTATCACGTACAGGATAAATATATTAATTAGGGAAACTTAGGAGATTATATAGAACGAAGAAAAAATTATCAAGACAAAAGAAATATAGTAGAAGACACTATTATAGTTAACTAATAAGGAGAATCAGAAGAAGCTATGTAGTACTATATACAGTAAGATATACTAGAGACTCAGACAGTAAAAAGGAATTGACACACACACAAGACTCCACGTCTAGTAACCACACAACGAGTCCCATAAGATGAATAGGATGTGACAACAAAGAATACCTATATACCAGGGACGAGCGCTCATATAACTTTAAAGTATTAATTCACATACCGCCTAGTTTACATAGTAAAAGCAACGAGAAAGTAATATCGGAAGTGAATAATAAAAGCCACTATTAAATTTACGATGTATCAAGTAATAGAGAATACTCACACTAATACCACACACAACATACATACAATACACCAATGAAGAATTATACCATTACTAATATACGTTTCCTGATAAGAATGAGTTTGACGTACAATACAGATACCATACAATTGTAATACGTGTAAAAATTTACAAAAACAATAACCAACGCACCTCCATATAGGAACGAACAAGTACAATAACAAAAAACAAGAGAAAAATACGGTAAAGACGACAAAAGATTAGACCCTCCACACCAGAAAATCCTTCACATACATTACCAAATAACAATACATAGACCATACATACTATAGACAGATATTTAATGACATATATTAATCACCAAAAAATGAAGTACGTATAATATTGTAGTAACAATAAAATAAACATATCCTGATAAATAAACTACCAGTTCTCATCGACGTTCTACGCTATGATGGTTTTATTTTACATATATATACCCGTCGAAAAAATTACTATAAACTATACCAACGTGAGGTTAGGTATAAGACCGAAAGACAAAAAAGAGTGACCCTATTACCCCTACCTAAACCCCCCCCCCAGACGATAGTAGAGGAGAGAGGTATTGAAAAAGGAGAGCCAGACGTCTAGTTTCCGGACA